TAAATATCATATTAAAAACTCTTACCTTAAAAATTCAGATCTTTCGCACCGGCAACTCACGCTCACTCTGCCTCAGCTCGTGCACGAAGGAAACAAGTGAAGAAACGAAGGAAACAAGTGAGTTTTTATAAAAATTTAGTAGGTCCCATATTTTTTTAATTATTTATTCTTCCTCTCTCTCCCTTTTTTATTATTATTATATACATAATCATTGCACCAAAAACCGCTATCGTTTTCTTCTTTCTTTCCTTACTCTTTCTCATACCTTTTCTTCTTCTCTTTTTTTATAATAATAATAATAATTTAATATTTTTTAATTAATTAATTTTTAATTAATTTTTTTATTTTAATTTAGAATTATATTTAATAATCATCTCTTACTAATTTATTTACCTCTAAATATTCTCCAAAATTTTTATTAACCCAAATTAATTATTAAAATTTAAATTGGGATGTTACATGCTGTGTTGTTTGCACCAACTGAATTAGAAGGAACATGCAAGTGGTGGAACAAAAATAATAATTTTAAAAATAAAAATAAATTAAATTACCTTCCTCTTATAATAAATATGACAAAACTCTACATATTATATCACAACATGTAAGACTACAAAACTTAAGAGTTGTTTCATTCCATTTTTATTCTTTCTGGCAACCAAACAGTTCCTAAGTTTCATGTGGCTCTTTTTTTTTTTTTAAAAAAAAGAATAATTCCTCATGGCTTGTAATCCATTCCTGCTAAAATAGATAAATCGCAATTCATGGTTAAACAAATTTATAGATGGAGTAGGTAATATTGTTGGGAGGAGAGAAAAATGAGAATAATTGTGAAAAATTGGGATTTTAGGATGCGAGTATTGTTATAACATTGTAGGATCATAGGATTAAGGCAAGGTTGCCTCCTTTATTCTATCACCAAATCTGCAATATTTGTCCTCTTCTAATTTTCAAACATTAATTACTTATTATGGTGCTATGTGTAAGCCACTTCTAATTTCTTTACCAGTACCGTAACTAAGAAGACATAATTAAATTATTTCATCATTTTTAATTTAAAACACTTCATTTTTTTTATATAATTATTTATCCTGCTCAAAAAATCATGAAAAACTGAAATTATGAAAAGGCAAAATTAAAAGAAAATAATTAATGAATTTTTTTAAGACTTGGGGCCAAAATACTAGAAAAAATTCAAGCCTAGACTTCAAGAAATATTTACATTGAACGACATTAATTAAATCAAACCGTGAGAAGAAATAATAAGTAATTTTCGAAATCATTAATTCCGAACAATTCATTTTGTGTGTGTGTGTGTGTCTGGTGAACATTTTTATTTGCGGATTTTGTTTTCAAGATGAGCCCAAAAAGGCGAAATAAGGGAGGTCAAAAGTTGGTGCCAAAAAGTAGAAGCAGGAAAGATGTACTATGTATCCACTGAAATTTGGAACATCTGTAAAGTATAAAGTGAATTTGTAAATTTTGAAATTTCAAAAATGTATAAAGTTAGGAAATAGCCTCCGCTCACTCTCATATCAGCTCACCGCAATTACTGTGATCGTATTATTTTTTTCTGGGCACATGCACGCACCTAACAATGCTGGCTAGCTTTTGATTTGGGGTATCCTCTTCTCACGGCATTCATAAAATTATAGCATCCCAATTTCACATCCTATTGATATCCTCTCTCTCGTGTGATGACAGAGTTAGGATTCTGAGTGGAGAGCAATGACAAAGCCAAAATTCTTGAAACAAGAAAGATTTTTATGTTTCTTCTAAATCTACTATTTTTTTTCTTTTCTTTACTTCTCAATTCAACTTTCAACTATACACTTATAAGTGTAATGAACTAATGAAAAATATTCAACCAGTTTATTCTTAAATCTAGAATCTTCATTCATTATTATCTTTTTTTGACTAGTTTCCAAGTAATATTTAGAACAAGGATGATATAAGTTTAATTTAGTCAAGTTAGATTTTTTTTTCTTATTTTTTAAAGGATTAATAAATAATATTGGTATTTAAATATAGTAAAATTTTGGGCTAATATTTATGAGGTTTTGAGTTAAAAAATTGAATAGATCTAGACTAAAAAGTAAGATTAAAATGAATTTAAAATTTAAAATATGAAAATAAGGGGCGCAGAGTATAATAAGTAGATGGTACAAATTGTAAAATATAAAAACTTATACTCCAAACAAGTCATTTTTTTCAAGTGAGAGGGGCATAATTACATGCAGCTCCACCACTATCCTCATGCCTTGCACAGTCTCTAAGAAAATAGAGCATGGCTAGTTATGATTTATAAAGCAGGTAATTTGTTAGTTTGTATATTGCACATACATGCATATTCATGCAATTTGTAGCTCAAGAACTTACACAATTTAGAATTGGTAATCTGGGTGGATCAAGCTTTTCAGGGAGCTTGAATGAGTTTTTAATTATTATATTCATAAAAAATATTTGTAACTTTAAAAATGAAAGATAAGCTTTTATTGTATCTATTAATTAATCACTCATTGCCTCTCTCTTAATGTTTCTCTTCGTTCATTTGCTGCATCTTCATCCTCTTAATACTCCTCCAATCACCCTGTGTAGGCATTGGAGCCAACCCTTGAATCCAAACGAGTTTGCAAACGAGTTTGGCCCAAATTTTGTTAGCATGTTTGGCCTAGGTTGAAAATTCTAATTATCATAAAAATTAAAATTTGATTTTTCTTAAGCCTGATTCTAACATTTTTTTTAAAAGACTAATTGGAATTGGCTTGTTGAGTTAGGCCCGAGTTTTTGACTCTGGTGTAACCTGAACCCTCAAACACCACATTATGTGGACTGCCCCATCAAGCAATCACAATGGCTTGTGTTTATTGCCCCATGAAAGAAATCGCATTGGCTCATTCAATTTTCTATCAATAATTAAGTCTCTCCTCTTCACCCACACAATTCTATCAACATTTTACTGTGTTTAGTATTTTCTTTGCGCATGCACGCAGAAGGCTCATTCTATCTTTAAAATTTGAGTAACATTCAAATCACATTATAGATTATATTTGAAAATTTAAAAAAAATACAGAAACTTATCATGCAGAATCCATGTAAGACGCAATAAATAGGGGTCCACCTCAATAACAAAAGCAGTAGGTAGGAAATATTGATATACTTTTTAAAACTTGTTGGGCCCAATGTTGTAGGCTTGTAGCACAGAAATTTTGAACTGCCCACAGCAAGGCGCAAATGTAGTTGAAAGCTTTCATTTTCATCCATATGTTGGTCTTAACATTGATGAGAAATATGGATATAGCATATTTTGCACCGAACAGATTAGACTTGTAAATAACAATAACTAAGCAGCTTAGCACTCAAACAAAGAAGAAGCAACTTCTGGAAAGAAAATTCAAAATACGTAACAGCATTGGCGGCGAGGGGAAATGAAGGTGAGACCAGGGACATATCTTGAACATTTCATTTGTTTTTTTTTTAGGGGGGTGGGGGATGAATTTATCTGAAAATGTGGCGCTAACATTGATTTTAACATTTTTTTACAAATGAAGATAAACATATTTACAAGAAAGCTATGTAGCATTCATTGAATCCGTCAATGGGTCAAGAGTAGTTGGATCTAGATTCCATTTCAAGTTGAATTTAAACTTTAATTTCTGTGTGCGCGCGTAATAATGTTTTTGCACCAAATTTTCTTTCCGAGATACATTGCAATTTGGACACTCTTTGGATATTGGTTTGCAAAGTGACAAGCCTAATTTGGTATACAAAAACTTATGTTAGTTTTTAAAGACGGGCTTGGCTTTGCTCTGCTGAGCAAATGCCCCCCTGCAATTCTGCTGAATTTTGAGAAAAATCTGGACCGTCCATATAAATGTGGATGGTCCATATTTAATGTTTTAATGTTTATTTTATATTTTATATTTTTTTAAAATAAAAAAATTATAAAAAATTTTAATAAATCTGATCAACAGTCTGAACATTTTAAGTTTAATATGAATAGTCCATATTTATAAAATTTTTCAATAAATCTAATAGTAAATTTGGACAGTTCATGTTTAATATGAATGATTGAAATTTATATAAAAAAATTAATAAATTTAATCACTAGATTGGATAGTTTAGGTTTAATATGGATAGTTTGAACTTGAAATTAAAAATTTATAAAAACTATGAAATTTTTGATATTAAACCTACACTGTCCAGAGTATATTTAGATAGTTAGTTTATAAAAATTTTAAAATTAAATTTGGATTATTTATATTCAAATTGTTGATCATATTTATCAAATTTTCAATTTTAATAAATATAAAAAATAAAAATTAAAACTTTAAATCTGAACCATCTACATTTATATGGATGGTCCAGATTTTTCTCAAAATTCAGTAGAGCTGCAGAGGCATGTTTGCTCAGCTGAGTAAAGCCAAATCCCTTAATGACTCACTAGGATCAAGACATATTTTTACTTTCAGAGAGCATTTATAAAAATACTTATAAATTATTTATCAACAAGATTCTTACAGCAGAATTTGATCCACAACTTTTAAATTATGAGATTTTTTTTAATAAATTACAAGTTAAATTTTTATTAATTAGATCAATTTTTATTAGCGATAAACCTAACTTTGATAACCAGACTTGGGTCAATCGTCTCCCAGTTAACTCGGCCCAAAAAATTGTGCATTGCTTTTCTTGGACTAGTTTTGAAAAGGCCCATTAAATTTTTAAAAAGCCCCAATTGACTGACCATCAATTGGGCTGGGGCTGACATAGACACAAAAGCTCTGCCAACTGACACGTGACATGAAGTATAATAATAGTTTTTTCCCTGTATATAATTAGGACTATTTTTAGTTGGGACTGAGTAAACCCACCTCAAGGAAATTTAATGTCTTTCTTACTGACTTCAGAATTTAGGCCAGACTATTTACTGGTAGGAACCGACATGTCCTTGATCCATTTGAAATCTCTCCTGACAATGAATGATGCAGGTGGCAGAAGAATCAAAGCTTTGATTTAACTTCCTTCGCCATACCATCAGCATATTCATGAGACTGATCATCCATAGCGTTCTCACTCGTGATCTTCTCCACCAGAGAAAGGAACCTGTTCATGGCTTTCCTTGGCAGCAGTATGGGCACCACAATGCCATCCTGTCCTCTCGTATTCTTGAACGCAGCATAGAAGCTAACATATGGTATAGCTCCAGCAGGTCCACCATATACTGCTTTTCCCCACCCAAAGTCCACCTCGTAAAAACCCCACACGAGTCGAATCAGCCACAAGATAATTCCCATTCCTTCTATACGTAGGACGCCCCTTGAGCACCATAAGATCAGCCACGGAGCTCATGTACTCTTTGTTCATCTGTGCTTTAGCCTCTCTGATCAACTCCAACGCGTAACCCATTGGGTTGTTGCAGATCAATCCAGCATCTGATATCGCCGTCGGGAAGGCAAAGGCATTCCCATAATACCCATCAGGCAAGTCTAGGCTTTGTTTTCCTCGAGCTGTGATAAAAGGTGAAATAGACACAATCTCGCTGGGTTTCAGGTCAAGTGCTTCAGTGCGGCATTTCCACAAACACGCAGTCAGCAACTCGAAGGTGGAGCAATTCCGAAGGTGACGAGGGAGACGATTTCGAAGCGAGAGAATGTGATTGGGGCCAAAGAAGAAAGATTCATGGACTGTTTGGTTATCGGGAAGGGAATCCAAGTTTTGTGGGTCAGGCTGCGAAGAAGTGGGTTCGTGGTATTCGTGATTAGGGCTGTGCAAAAATCTTCCAGTCCTGTCTGATCCAGTCCAACCCGAGATGGTCTCAGTCTTGTTCGGTCTGTATAGTCATTGGTCCTTCAGGATCAAAAGGACTAAAAAGACCAGACTATTTTTTCGGGTTGGACTGGATAAGAGATCAGGCATCCGGACCACTTGGTCCAGTCCAGTCCTATTAATTTTTTTATTATAATTATAATTAATTTATTTTTGACAAATGTTTAAAGTGTAATTGATGCTAAGGAGATGATTGCATAAAGATTTATTAAGTTTGTTTCTAAATTGTTATTGTAATATAGTGTTGTTGAATTTTGTTGAGTACTGTTTTTGTTAAAGTTTATAAATTTAAATAATTTAGACTATAACAAAAATATTTTTTTTCTTATTGTTAAAAATTATTATGGTTTATTATTATAAGTGTTTTTACTATCTTAATTAAGTTTATTATGTTGGAATGGATTATTACTTCTCATAGAATAAAAAGAGGGAAAAAAAGCTAAGTGAGTACTGGACTGACAGGACCAGTCTCCTAGTCCTATGGACCAAGTCCGGTCCTGTTAATTGTCGGGTTATTACTGGACAAGACTGGACTACGGGTTGCCTAACCCAGTCTTTTTCATGAAAGAGACCGGACTTCGAGTTAGGATAAAGTCCAGTGCCGTCCTGTGTTTTGTGCAGCCATATTCATGATGAAGGCAAGTGACGCGAGGTGGGTGTCGTGCAGACAAGAGGTCTCTGTGCCAAACCGGGATTTTAGAGATAGGAGAGTGAGTTGCGAATCCAGAGGCCATTTTGAGGAACTGAACGAGGCCAAGTGTGTCGCAGATTGTATGATTCATCCACACGCCCAACACAAATCCTCCGCATGCAAGACGAGTTACCTGCCAAATATAAACTTGCATGTCAACGGAATTTGGATTCTTTTTATGTTTCCATTTCAATTTTAATTGAATATAATAAATTATAAAAATAATTGATTGAATAATAAATTTTAATTATAATTGATTATATTATAACGCAATTTATTTAAATATTTATGCTAATAATTTTTTTAAAGATCTAAATTTTACTGAGAAAAAAAGAAGAAACAAAAATTTTGTTTTAATTTTATTAAATTTCGTGATTTTTTTGTAATTTTTTTCTTGAACTTTTTATGTAATATTTTCATATAACTTTGTAAATGCAAAAGCTGAGAAGCTGAAACTTGAAATTTTGGAAAAAAAATTAATTTTTTGAAGAAAAATTGATTTTGGAAAAAGGTTGGTGTTTGGGTAAATTATGGATTAATCAATTTTTTTGCCTCTAAAATCAACTAATCTCTCAATCCAAACAGGCACTATATCGTTTCTCAATATATTTTTTCATATTAATCCCATTTACACATTTTATTATTCAATTAGTTTAATAGTACAAGATTGTTAATTATAACATTAAAATAAATATAATATTCATTTAATGTTTATTATTAATAAACATTATAATCTTATTTTCAAAATATTTAAATGTTGATAATGAATAACTTATTTATTTTAATAATATATTATTTTTTATATATATTCATTTTAAATTTTATCTTTTTGTACATATGCGTCCTCGCATCAATTTCAATATTATCATCCTCATCAATAATTGAGAAAAAAATCAAGGGTAAAAATTATATCTCCCCCAAAAATAATCAATGAATTTAAAAATACTAACTCATTTTATATAGTTTTATAGTATAACCCAAGGCGGCAAGGCCAATTCAGATAACAAGAATATGGTAGGATGCAAATCCATAGTTTGGTAACAAGAATATGTTAAAATCCGTAGTTATTTTGGTAAAAATGCTTTGTTATCTAAGAATATGGTAAAAAAATGCTTCCATTATACTTTTCTGAATTCTTTTTGAAATTATTATATCATTATATTTACTTTGTTATCTGATCATTAATCACCTTCCTGGGGCTATAAAATTATTTAAAATGATTTCTTCTCAAAAAAATATTAAAAAAATCAAAAGCTGAAGCCACCAAAATTCTGTGTACGGTACATTAAAATTCTTTGGGCAAAAAAAAAAAAAAAAAAGAATTGGCTGCCTTAGGTATCGGTCTCGATCCGTCCCAGGCCCGGCCGTTTGGACATTCAGGACCGTGTCTGGCTACCAAAATGAGTCCCTAATTCTTTAGTCCCCACGCGGAGACACACACAGATTATTGTTGCTGGTGTCTAAAATTCAACCCTTCATTCACGAGAATTATTAGATAAAATTTCTCTGACAAGTAAGGTTGAGATTATGAGCATTAGATAACAGAGACACTTGCGAATAATGAACAGCTATGAAGGATTTACCTGAAAGAACAAGAGAGGGCATCCAAGAATGTGTTGAGAGGCAGGCAAGGGAAGAAGAAAGTGATTGAGATAAGACATGGTGGCATAATTTCATCCCCAAGCTCCATGAGCGATATAACAGCTTCAGCTTCCACGAACAACACACCCTCTCCATTGCACTCCACCACCAGCTTTCTGTTCGCTACTTCTCCAAGTCTACCTGCAAGTGGATAGTAATACACCAGTGCTTCGCTTATTGCCTCTTTGATCACCAAAGCAGGGTCGTCCTTCGATTTTGATTCCCTTCCATGGAAGAACATCACAAGAGGAAGCTGAAATCGAAGGCCCTCTTGGTCGTCTATGTCTGATAGCTTCTTGGTTTCATGCGGGGTTGGTTTTGCAGGCACCACCAGTTGTGCCTCACTGTGCCTCGTGCAAAATTGACCCCCAAACTTCCTCACTTCCATATCTGTTTGTGCTCTTTTGTGAACCTCTCGCATCAAACATGGAAGGACACACGCATATATATAGAAACTTTGCAGTTTGCATTTGGTGCTGATCGCAAGTGAAATATAATAAATATAATATAATAAGTATATTTATTAAAATTTTAAATTTTTTATTTTACTAAATATAATATTAAAAATATTTAAAAATTAATTTAAATGGACGATAAAGGTTAATTTGAATTAAAATGAAAGGCTAAAATTGCTCCTGATTTTAATAAGCTCATCACAATAATGAACACCGAATGAAAACATATTTTTTCATGATGTTTTAATTTATAGTGAGTATCGAATGTGATCATATCCTTATGTGATGTTTTAACCTCATACCCTCTCTGCATTAAATTCACGTGCAACTAGGGCATTGAAAGCTAAACCAATTATTGTAAGACTTTTAGTTTTCCCCCAGAAGCAGTGTTTGGCTTGGTAACCTTGTATGCACGAGAAAGATAAGTGTGTGGGAACGGGACAGAGGGTGTGGAATGTAGATAAAAGATGGGCTTGGAAACGGAGATGTTGATAAAATATGTACTCCCTCCATTAAAAGATATAAAATATTTTTTAAAATTTAATCATTATTTTTTTAAAAGTATCTCTATCGAATATATCACTTTATATTTTTTAATATGAAACACCTTATTAGATAGGGATAAATATAAAAAGATAAGGTTAGTTTAAAGACAAATAATTTCTTTATCAAGAGTAAGATTCAATATAAAAATATCTTATATTTTTAAATAAAAGGACTAAATGAAAAAAACTATAAGAAAGGTGGGACCCAATCAAGATAATGATGTGAATGTGATCAATGAAAAGGGGAGAATGACGCTTGGAGCTATGAGGTTAAAGAAATTTTCAAGACCTATAAATAACAGAGTATGTGTATGTAACAATAATTTACAAATTTCTTAAGGGTATGAATAATAAAGCATTCCTATATAACATCTCAAGATCCATATATTAATAAAAATATAAAACAATGTCCATTCATAATATGTAGTCCATGTAATCTAATTAAATAATAGTATATAAGTTTTTTAGGTATAATGTGAATGACTAAACGTCTGAATATCACATGACACAGTTTAAACATTAGTAACATAATATTCGTTCATCATACATAATCTATATGATTTAGTTAAACAATAATGTATAAATATTTTTTTTAGTATATGAACAACAAAATATTTATATATAACATGATAATATCCTTCCATTAACAAAATATCCTCCTGCATATGATATTATTTTTTCAAAGGAAGGCCAAATAAGTCCTTTCATCAGAAAATATATTTGTATGTAAGGTTTTTGGACCTGTAGAGTAAATTAAAAATGTATAGGACCTTATATGCCTTTTTTTTTTTGGGGATCTAGAAGCTCAAGGTACCATTCTCCCAATGAAAACTCAAAGAATTAGAAGAATGTGCTCGATTTTGTGGTCCCGTGAATGTGACATTATGACTCTTTGCTTTGCCACTGTTTTCTGATTTGAATACCTTTCCTCTCCTTCACACTTGGCTGTTGGCCCTTTCACAGAACAATTTTAATAAGAGCCACATTGAAAACTCTCTTAATTTTGAGCTGGAGTTAGTAAATTGTAAATTTTCTATGATTCTAGTCAAAATATTGCAACTACCTTATAATAAAGATTAGATGGAATAACTTCAAGAAGGCAAATGCTCCCTTTTTAGTAGCAACTCAGGCAAAAAAATAATAATAATAAAATCATTGCACGCAAAAATCAGGATACTTGTACTATTTTAATTTAATTTTTTATCTGGGGAAATAGATAAAATTTCACAATTAAAAATCGTATTTTTTTATTCTTTTTTAAAATCAAACAAGAGAAAAAGGGAAGTTGAGATTAATAACCATATTCCATGTGGTAAGTACAGCGTAGAAACAGAGTACCACAAAAACAAATCAAGCCTCACACCTACCGAAGTACGAAACGGCTATTATCTTATTTTTCTGTTGTTTGAAGTTGACTTCAACATTCTCAACGGCTATAGTTTTAGAACAGTATGAAAGGAGAAGGAAGAAGATTAAAATATATAGAATAAATCGGTCATTTGTTAATTTGTTCATGAGTTTTTTTTTGCCAATTATTATTTTCATGAAATTCGATCCTTGTTTCCAAGTCATGATTTATGCGAACGCACAATAAAACAAAGTTAGGTGTGTTGGGTTTAACGAATCTACCAAATCTAGGCTATGTTTCCGTGCTTTAAAAAGCGTTTATACAAATACTTACTCAACTTGACCATAATGAAAGGCATAATTTAGTGTGTGATAGTTTGTGTGTGATTGAATTGTATTTGGCAAATTAAATTGTATTTGAAAAGTATATTTTTGTGTTTGGAAAATTAATTGACAAATGAGATGATATGTATGTATATGTTATGTTGGTATGAAACCATGTGTTCAGGGATATGAAGATTAATCAGATGTGTTTTCTTATTCAAATGTACTTGCAACATGCATGAATTGTCTAGTTTTGAAATGTGTTTGTTGAAATTTTGTTTGAAGATTATCTACCTTGTGATAACCCCTCATTAGATCTAATGAATAGCTAATAGCCTAAACCAACTTATCTTGGCCTAGTGTGTTGGTTCAGCGCACAATTTATGAAATGATAGAAAGTATAGTCATGCAATCTCATTGTTCAATAATTTGGATAACATGTGTTTGGAAACATTTTGCATGCCCTACTTAACAGTCTCTTGGTTAATTGCATTGCATGTATCATTACATATTAATTTTGATCATTAAAACCTCTGTACCTCATTACTCGTGGGTACAATTTTTATAGGAAATGATTTAGCCGGAAAAGCACCCTAGATGTAGGTAGTATGTATGGACACCATTAGTGTAGTTAGCGCTTTTTTTTATTCGATAGGTTGTGTGTATTTGCCAACCATAAGGCATGATTGATCTAAATGAGCAAGTAACCCCATATTTTGATTAAACTCATATTTGGTTATGATGAGAATTTTTTGGCAATCATGGCTATATTTTGATGTGATTAAATTAAAAGTCTGCCCAAAAGGGGATGAATTAGGCTATATAAAATTTTGGCTAATAATAATAAAATTAAGAAGATGACTTTAGAATAATATCACCAATCACAATAAAGAGTAAGGAAGATAAGTTTGCTTAGATATTTATCCTGATTCACCTCCAATCACTTGAACCTACGTCTAATCCTCAAGTATCATTTGAGATTTTCTCCACTAACTTCACTAAGATAAATTCGGGCTTTTGGTAGCCTCAATACAATCCTAAAATCACTATAGTCTAAATCACTCCCCCTTACAAAGGTAACAATATTAAAATTCTCTGTCTTGAGAATGAAAAATAGAGATGAAAAGAGTAGGTTTAAGAATGAATTACTTCTATCAAATACTCTCTTTAAAAGTTGATATATAATTCATAAAACTCACTAGTAATGAATAAGAACTTATAAAGTTGGTAAACAATAAAAAATAACTCGTGTAGTTCATTCGTGTCGTTCTTGCTCACCGTCTTCATAAATGCTTCAATTAATAATTAGAGTTCATAAATAATCCATTAAAACATATGAATATAGTAGTTAGAGTCATCATCTTTTCTCCTATAAACTTTCTCCAAAATGAGGCAATGTAATAATGCTTTACAATGAAACTTTCTCTCTCATAACAAGTAAGGAAAATAATGTCTATTTGTATTAATATTCTGATAAGGTAGGAGAGAGACTATTTGAAAGAAAGAAGATTCTTGGGACTAAAGATTTTTGGAATAAGATCAACAAGTGTTTAATCCAACCCATATTTGTGTTTAGAATAATTATAAGATAATTAAATAACTGACCCAGCTCTTAGAAAGTAAAAAAAAAAAGGAATGGAGGGAGTTTTGATATTCTCTGCTACAAATGCGAAAAACATAGTATTGTTCATCTTGTTGATTTTTGAAATAAGTGAGCTTATTTCAAAACAGTGAAGAACAGCTTCAACGAGAATATTGAGTAGGTTATTTCGAAATAACAAGCTAATATCAAAAAAGATTTACATATACATTAATCTAAAGTTCATTATTTTGGAATAAGTAAAGTTATTCCCAAATAAACTATTCTTGAATAAGATATTATGCAGTTACGCATTGAAAATAGCTTGAAGAAAAGAACCATTATTCTTGAATAAGCATAATATTCCTAAATAAACTATTTCTGAAGGTTAACGAGAGAATATTTAGGAACAAGAAACATACATAGGAATGAGCTGTTTCCGAATAAAGATGCTTATTTTAGAATAAGGACTATTTTATAGAAAATTGACAAAGACTTTTAGATTTTGGATGTTGATTTTAAGTTTACTTAAGACACCTTTCAAGCAATACAAGATATTTTTAAAGAATTAAAATTAAGTTGAATACTTAATTTTTAGAGAAAAATACTTTAAGAATGAATACGAGAGGTGTTTAGGTGTTTCTTGGCTATTTGAGAATAAAACACTTACTGGGTAAGAGTGCCTATTTGGGAATAAGACCAAAAGCTAGAATTTTAAAGCAAAGATAGCCAATTCCTTTACTGGCCATTAATTCATAATTATTAATTTTGTAAAATACAAATTTCTCTTATTTTATTGCCATTAAAATTAGGGTCCAACATAAATGCTTTCCAGTGAATTTCAAATAAATCATTAGTGTAGGACAATTGATGATGTTTTTACCATATAGTTATATTGAATGATTATAACCCAACTATAAAATTTTAAGTCTTGTCAATGAGCTAGCATGTTAAAATTGTTATTTGGCATGAGTGTGTTGTGTGATGTTTTTACCATATGATATTGAAGTTGGGTTCAAGGAATTTACCCGATCTAGGCTGGGTATTTATGCTCAAAAAGTGTTTATAAAAATACTTATTTCCTCGATCATAATATAAGACGTCTTTCAAAAATTTTACCTAATTCAAAATATAGAATATTGAATAGCTT